AGAAGGCAATACGATTTGGGAGATGTTATTCTGACAATAACCGGTTTCCATTTGACCAGGACGTACTTGCCAAACGACGTTATCAGGAAAGCATTGGCTTTATCGACAAGACTCGATGTTTCGCGAGGATGCTTATGGCCACAGGTGAACAAGGTTAAGCAAAATACTGTGTTTAAAAATCAAGACACGTGAATTCAGAAAAATATAAAATATGTGCAGTCATAGACCGTAGAAATGCGAAATATTGCATCATCAAAGTTCAGACGTCCTGACACCCGATACCTGGCTCTACGCTAAGGGCCGCAAGAAACACAGGCAGCTGAGGTGGGAAGTTACGGTGACCATATCGAGTATTGGATTAGAAACTTGCTGGCAACGAACATTGGGTGCCACGAGCATTGCACGAGCCTCACGAACATCCTGGGTATTCAGGCTCTTGCGTTTTAGCGCCCAAAACACGGTACTGTTATGGACTGCTTGGAACATAGGCAGCTAAGCCGAAAGGTTTGGATGACCCCCACCGAACATCAGGTTAGTGCCAGCGAGAATCAGCGTCCCTCACAACATGGAGAGAGCTATTTTCAAAGTGCGTCACCCAAACAATGCTGTTCAGGCCAAGTTCAAAAATGGCGCTTGTGTCCTCTTCCTCGGGCGAAGAGTCCGAATGTGCAATGATTTGTGTGCCAAGTGAGGTCGGTGTTGTCGTAAGCTGTTGCTAAAATGTGTCTTTCAAAGTTGATATTCATTGCGCTGTGCTCCAAGGGTATGTGTTGATCTACTGTACAACAGTTCAGTAAAAGTGGAGCTCAGTTTAGACATAGGTCTCGGTAGATATAAATTCGCCATGAATCTAATGGAGGAAACTAGGACAGTATTTGTCTACTTGCCATTATCACAGTTGATTATGCTGAAGTGATGATTCACGCGTTTCACAAGAACCCAGCGCGCTTGGGATGCTCGGCATACAAATACATGACGGGCATGGCGGTGGGTAGCCGGTATGCACCTCTAGCTATTACCTTCATGTACCGTCTGGAGTCACGTTTTTAATTCTTCTAGCTAAATTTGGTCTACGATCAATGATTTGCCAATGCATTTAATAGTTGCTTGAGGCGGCTAATAAATAATTGTATATAAAGTAGAACATCCGGATGAGAGCTAATGCTTTGCCACGGAACTTAACTGTAAGCCATGCGCGTCCTCACGTTATTGTATTGGCATTGGTTCCCCCATGGTTACGAAGAAAGCAATCTTTGTTTTACAGATGTGCAAATGGTTGCTTGTATCTTATGATGTCCAATCATGTAAGCGCATTCTCGCCAAGATGTCATTTCTGTTCCGTTAGAACGGATGCCCGGAACATCGAGTTGTAACGGGTAACCGAGAACAAAGCGTTACAGAGTGAAGCCTGCCGCCTGCGCCACACGTTCTCAATTTAGGGCCCGGTCAGGATTGCGGAGAAGTCATAAAGCGATGAAACACCCAAATATCTGTGCGAAACTCTTGTTTCTAGATGATGAGCTGGGCGAACAGGTATATATGCCGCTATATAATCGCGCAGCTTGCATGACTCTAGGCTGGTGTGGACTAGTGGGCACATTTTAAAGTTCATACTAATTCGATCAGCCCTGGAGAACCCAACATTTCCAGCACTGAGCTGGATTGGCTGAATAAGTGTTAATGGACTGAAACGAAAACGCACGCCTAAGCAAGTAACTATAAGTTTTCTTGTAGCATTTTTTTTTGCACAGAGATATGTCATGTAAGTGAAACCAAGCGACGCGTTCGTGACCGGTTTAATGAACATAAACACAAAGGAGACGCGCGTTTACGCAGAGCGTGCACACCGCTGGAGAATATATGGGGAAACCGAAACGTCGTAATGGATCATGGCGCAACAAATACCGACTTAGAAATATACATTTCAGTAGCAGCCGAAAACAACGCAGACCACTTAACATTAAAATTATTACACATTCATAAACTTTATTCGAGGCTGAACACATAAGCGTCGTGAGGCCTGGTTTGAACAACACTGTTAAGGAAACGAACGTCGAGAAATAGTTCTCTACATGTTTTGGTGGACACTGATGCCCGCTGGCGCTAACCCGATGCTTGGTAGGGGTCATTGAAATATTTTGGCTTAACTATCTGTGTTTCGAACAGCCCTTAGCGGTTGCACTACCGTGAATTGACTGCTAAAATGTGAGAGCCCGAATACCTGGGATGTTCATGAGGCTCATGCAAGTAAACAGAAGAGGTGCAATGAAATGGTTTCCGATAGTCTAGAAAATGGCATAAATTTGATAACACAAAGGTGTGGACAATTTTCTGAACGAGCCAGTGATAAATTACGTAAACTATTCCGCAGCTCAGCAAGCAGTTTGCCTGGGGAAAGGTCAGAAGGGTTGCGGAAAGCTTGGAAGACCTTATGTTTCTCCAACTGGCTTGGAAAATACTGGGGTTTCCCGAGCTCCCCCTGTCTTTGGTAATCGCTTGGGATTGTTGGATTTTCCAGGGCTTGACCTATCGTCGGATTTGGGGATTAATTCGGGAAGTCGTTTTTCAGTGCGTACTCGCCATAACCAGTTAGGGAAAGCCCCCGGATACCCCACTTAATGGAGACATTGAAAAACGATTCGGGGCAAGTTGAGAATCTCAATCAGTGCCTCACTTTTCGAGCTGATCCCAAGCATTCTCCAAGTGGGGGAGCATGCAGTCGGGATCGGACCGAAATTGCTGGCTGGGAATAATCATTCGCGAAAAAAAACATCAACATTGAGCGCTGTATACCAGCTATGTCGGACGAAATCACGCAATGGAAATGTTGGCACGTAGGATAGTTTTACAGTAAGCCAAGTCCACCGGCTGGCTGGTCATATGTACCTGTCACTTATATACCCACTAACAGTTTGTTTATTATCCATACGAAGATTTCCGAAATTTCAGCCTGCCTTCCCGTGCCGCATTGCAGGCGGCATTACACTAATCGAGATTTAGAAAGGCAAAATCCTGTAGGTCGCGTTCTCAACGAGCTCCTATGGTTACTAACTACGCCTGACCTTGGATTAGGATGTGGTACATTTCGTGGGCCCAGTGATGGCCGAGCCTAGGCTTGAAGAGGTTAGAGGACGTAGACAGAACTGCCTCAGAGGCAAGACTGTTCCAGCCGTTGGTGGCGCGTACGCTGTGAACATATTTGCGGATTCTGGATGGTGCTCGCTGATTGGAGATTCCAGCGGTGGCCTCGAGAAGTCCCCAGCGCGGATAGAGCAACGAAGTCATCAGGTTTCAAGTTTATCCCTGAATGGAGGAGCTGGTACGTGCCTGCCATACCTCCACGACGTATTCGGCAATGCAGGGAAGGTGCCTCCAAACGCCGTAGTCGTTGTGAATATCGTTTGCCCCTGATACGTGGCATCACTCTAGTCGCATGCCGCTGCTCCCGCCCCGCAAGCTTTTGGTCCGTACGGTTGAAAGGTCCCCAGATTATGTTACCGTACTCCAGGTGGAGTCTCGCAAGGGCCTCGTACAGCAAAGGTAGTGCTGTCGCACTGATGCTCTGGAAGGATCTACGTATCACCGACGGAATCTGGGTGGGCTTTGAGACTACAGAGGCCGCCTGTTTCCGAAATCTTAGGCAAGGGTCTAAGTGGACGCCCAAGCCTCTCTCGACTGGTGTTGCTTCAAGAACTGATCCCCGCATATTAAATGTGTGCTTCGGGCTCCTGGGACTCAATGTGGAGAGTATGACACAAAGATTCGTTAGAAGGGACTTGCCACCTGCCTGACCACTAGATGAGAGCGTCAGTCTCCCTGGAGCTCTTCGATTGCGCCTGGTGAAACTATACTGCCGCGTACTTCGGTGTCATCTGCGAATATTTTGATTGAAACGTCACCACATCAGGCACATCGTTTATGTGAATCACGAACAGGAGCGGCTTCACGACCAAACCCTGAGTGACGCCACTGATGGCGGGGGTCCATTTTGAGTGAGCACCCCTGACATCATCCTTCGCTGGCGGCCAGTCAGAAAAGCTCTGATCCGCTGTACCAATTTGTCGGACACGCCATATACGTGCAGTTTGCTGAGAAGGTGTGTGTGCGGCACAAAATTGACAGCCCTTCGAACATCCAAAAAATGTGTCAATTGGTTTCGCTTGGTCAGTCAGTCTGCTCCAATCCTCGAGAACCCCGAAAGTTGATTGTTGCACAACTTCTCGGGGCGGAATCCATGCTGGTGCTTCGATAGTTGGCCAGATGAGTTCAAGTATGTCATCAGCTGGTCTTTGATGATGGATTTCAGAATCTTGCAGGGTATCGCGGTTAAGCCGAAGGGTCAACAGTTTCCGGGAACTGTTTGTCTCCCTGCTTGTAGATAGGCACTACCGAGGCCGGTTTCCAGTCTTCAAGGAAAGCTAACGCACTGGAGGGACTTGCGGAGCATCGTAGCTAGGGAAGCACAGATGGACTCGGCTGCCTCATGCAGTATGCTAGGGTGAAGTCCGTAAGTCTCGGGGGAAGTGGATATATCAGTGTTCCCAGCCTGTTTCAGTACCATTTCGTTCGAAATGTCTGCATCGCCTAGCCCTTCAGACGCATCGTCTCATCACCGTTGATGTCATAGCCCTGAGAGCGGGTGCAAACCCGACTTACAGCAGAGCCTAAGCACGATTGGCTGAAGAACCGCAGATGTATATCTATGTGAAGCGTTGTACAGGCAACCCACATCACCCGGGGCCAGCGGCTGGTGGACTGAAGGTAACCAGCCCAAGAGGTGAAGTAAACAGAATTAAATATTCATTTTGGGAAATCATGTTTCAAAATGCAATTAATTATAAATGTGATTAATTTGTAGAATTAAAATTTTGTATTTATCTTCAAGACTTACTTTGAACACAACTTACTGTTTTTCTTTACACTTTTTAAATTAAAATTGCAGTTTACCGCTAGGTTCTCACAGCATGGAAAAGGCTCCAGTAAAACTAAACGGACGGGTCAAAAAATATAATCGTCGCGGCCTGGCGTGAGTGCGCGTGGTGGCTGGTGGCGACTTGCACTTGAGTTGTGAGAAGCACTTCAGTTATGCTATAGAAAACGCAACAGGTATCTTTGATTTTTCTCAAATGTCTTTCAAGCGATATTAAATACCACGAAATTAATAGGGTGGCGCGCATGGCCGTTTTTCAGTTTAAAGATCCATTTACTTGCTCCAGATATTAAAATGAGCATGCGATTTCTCACCACAAGCTATTGAAGGCATAAAGCATACACCACTGGATTGTGATGAATGATTAAATGACGTGCTAAACACGCTTTGAAGTTGTGTGCTGATTGTGGCTTTGTTGTGAAGAAAGTAGTATGTACTGTTCTCCCTTTTCCCATGCAATGGAATAAGACTTAAGATGACTTTCAGAAACTGGAAATATTAGTTGCACCCAGTTTTATCTGTTTGTGTGCCCTCAATGTCTCACCCCACATTGTCGCTGTTGTTCTTGCTGCTGTGTGGTGGCATAGGCTGGCTTGTGAGATATGAGTGGGATGTGTTCATCCCCAATTATATTTTGTTGCTCCCTTGTTACACAGTGTCCAATGCTTTTATAGTAGTGTGTTTTTCATACCTTCCACCAATCTGCAATGTTTTTTTTTTAAAAAAGTTAAGTAAAACACCCAGTCAAACAGTCTGCAAAAAATCCATCCACTACTTCAAATGCTTATGTGATGCTGGTTTGCTGGTATTGGAGCATGTATGCACCAAACTTAGTAAGACCAAATCATGCTGAATTTTGTTTCTTTTGTTAAATTTTTGAGATATTTTTCCTTTAAATATCCTTAATAACATTATATTCTACTGAAGCATTAGCTTTGTGCACTGACTGGTGGTGACTGTGTGCCAGACTAAGCTCTTAGATTTATAGCTACATTTATTTATAGCTACATTTGCTCTTCTTTTTTCTGCTAGAATGTTGATACTGTTTGAGACAAATGTGAAATGTTTTCTTGCACACAATATTTGGAAGGTTGACTAGGGCCAAGCAAAACACTGGCATGTTTGAGTGAGAATGTGCACCTAAAAGCATAAAGATTGTGTAAACTGTAAGAAAGGGCGGCCAACATATTGAGGTTTGGCAACAATATTGGTAAAGTTCAGTGATCTGCTTTGCCATATAGTTGCCATGCATTTTATGTTGCACTGAATAAGTCTGGGAATAGCTGAATTGTATTAAGGTATCACTGATTACATATGAATGGCAGTGAACCATCATTTCCATGATAATGAGACATTATCTGGGCATAGATTGTTAGCCCATGGCATAGGCATTCCCATTATTTGTGAACATTATGTCCATGATAACTTGCTTTGTTGCTCTCATTGAAAGTCTGTCTTAGTGTTCACATCATATACCCTCAGCACATGCATGCACAGGCACACACACACACACACACACACACACGCACGCACGCACGCACGCACGCACGCACGCACGCACGCACGCACGCACGCACGCACGCACGCACGCACACACACACACACACACACACACACACACACACACACACACACACACACACACAATCTTACAGTTCCTCTAGCTTGATTGTCACAGATAATGCATCAATGACAACACTTTTAAGTGTTTGAAGTTTTGAAATGTTTAGTTTGAGTGAGGGATGATGTTATCTGAAAGGATTTATGTGCCCATTCAGACATTGATGCACCTATATGAGCATCATCAATATGCTTCTACATCAAACATACAAAGGTGCTATCCATGTATGATGTTAATGGAATATGTGGTTTTTAAAAGTGTTTTTATTTTTAAAGTGTTCTAAAGAGAATTTTTATGTGTTTCTGTTTTTTATAGAAAATTTGCATCAAATCCTAGGATGCAGATGGTTTTATCTTGCCTCAAGCAATATGCCTGTCTTTGTTTTCAATCTGTGGTCCAATTAGGGGTCCAACATAAACAACCTTTTGGGAACATTATGCTCAACACAGTGTGAACTGTGAAAGTTTTTCACCAAGTGTAACTGGTGTGTTACAATGAAGATAAGAGATTGAAAATGGCCAAATTTTGGTCACATAATTGATCAATTTATCCCTTTAAAGGTTCAACAGTGCCTAAGTTATGCAAATCACATCCATTGGTTTGATTTGATCATCTGTGGGGAGCTGTCTTCACCAAGTGATTGCTGTCAGGACGCCGGTCGTATTTGTAACGAGCATGCACATTGCACACAGCAGGCACCTCCTGATGTATAGGGGCCTTGTGGAGAAAGTGGAAGGGCTGTGGCAGCACCCCAGAGTGGGTTTTTGTTCCCTGAGTGAGCCACTGGTTCTAAGGGTCTATCTTAAAGGCAAACCATGTCCATGGTACTGAAGACGCCAGTTGGCACATCACAGGGAGCATCTCTGTCGCATTGGCTGGTACATCGTGGAGAGTGTCCCTACCGCGCTGGTCAGTGCACCATGGAGAGTTCCGTGTCGCGCTGGTTGGTGCGGCAGGCTATCACTGGTGCAGTGCTGTCATCTGATAGATCAAAACTGGCTGGGCAAAAGACTCCATGTCAAGGCTTATTTGATTGCCTCTCACCAATCTACATGGCCGCAGGCTTAAGCGAGCTGCATCACCACAGTAGGGTTTAAACATATCATGGATAAGCCTGCGATCCAACCAGCCAGTTAAGACAGGTGCCAGTGGTGGTTCCCTTTTGTAGTCTAATAAGAAGTTTGCTTCCAGGTAGCAACATCAGCAATGACTCCAGACCAGTTTCGAGGGCTGGTGAAACATTGGGAACGTGTGGGAAGGAGTGACTTGTAAGTTTGGTCATTTTTCTTGTACAAAATTACAACAAGATATTATTCCTAGTGTGTCACTTTGTGGCAGACTTTGAAAATCTTCGTTGCTCTAGTATCGGCACTCTTGATTCTTGTGCTAATCTTTTGATCAGTATCCTGTGATCAAGTGCGGGTGGGCCGGTGCCACTGGGAATCTGTAGTGGAAGTCAGAATTCCATGAACAATGGGAGTGCTATTAGCAGGAGTGCTATTCCCTGACAGAGTGGTGTGTGCTCTCTGGATAGCAGCAATGAACCCATGAGAGCTGGTGTAACACCCAAATTATCTGTTTACCCTCTAGGCCAAAGAGCACTTGGACCCCAGATTATCGATGTAAAATCCTAGTGACGCCCTGGACTGACCTGCTTTCTATGTTTCAGCCTCCAGTACCTGAAGAATATCATCCCACCAGCAGAGAAGGGCCTTTTGGGCTCTGTGGGATCCTCAGAAGGTATGAATTACATGCCCTCCTCACTTCTGACATGTACTTACATGACTAGTTTTTCAGCTGTTCATGACAGAAACCAGATGTCATTGACCTTCTTTCACCACCCATTAGTGTGGTGGAATTGTTTCAGAATACTTATATTATTTGTCACAGTAAAGTGTGTCTTATTGTTATTGCTCCACATAATAAGGTTGGAATACGTCTCTTCCATGTCAGCAGCTCCTATGAACGAATTTCCGTTGATTGAGTGTCAGTCATTGCCGTGCCCCGGCCCACAGATGTCAGTCTGTGTCTTTACCGTCTCATCCTGGCTGGCACGGATGGCACCCTCAAGAAGGAGAGCGTCTCAAAGACACTGGCAGAGGCAGTGGTAAGTACCAGATTTGCCATGTGCGCGCCTTGGCTGATGTCATATTGCCGTACAATGCATGGGTCACTGTAGGGCGAGGCGACTCTTAAGCATGCGCCCGAGTGGACCGGTGCGTTACACCGGCTGCGTTTTCATTCAGCTTCATTCACGAAAGGGAGTGTTCCACATCTGTATGGGATTTTGAATTGAAAAAGCGATTTTGAAGATCATTTGGTGCAGTTCACAGCTCTGTCCTTAAGACCGAAACCCCCTCCAGTTTCTGAGCCGAACACCCGCGAAGATGTGCAGGCCATTTCGGGGCGACTTTTTCGATGTCACCCAGGGATCCATGACGTCGTAATAACGTCATTAAAATTCTGCCATTCCCTGGGTCACGCGGCGATCAAGGCCAAAAAAAATATAATTGTCGGGTCTTTCATATATGGTGGTCATGAGCACGATTTTCAGATAAAGCGGCCGTCATTTGGCTCTCAATTAATGTTGTGGAGGATACAATGACGTAGTAAGATATTGGTGTACTGAGGAGCACATTTACCAACAGAGAACTTGTGTTGTCTAAAACAGTCTTTTTCACTTAAATGTATACCACTAGTCATAAATGAGCTTACCTTACTGCCTTTAATGTTTGCATCAATGTCTGCGTCAACAACTTGTCAGGTTGTTGCGAGCAGCAGTGTTTTTATCGCGCGATTCTCTGGAATACGTTTCGTTATTAATAGGGAAATGAACAATGGTGTATAGGAAAGACGAAGTAATAATGTGTAACTTCTGCGCATTCAGACACATCCAGGGAAGCACATACTATGTGGGAAGCATGGTGAGGCTAATAAGGGAAGCATTGATTAGCTATTGCACTGCAATTTTACTTGCCATTTGTGGCAGGAAAACTGAAGATTAGCGATATTTACGCGTGAACCGACCATCTTCAGATCATCAGTGGAAGTTTTCATCCTTTGAATTATGACGTCTCTCCAATGCGCCGGCATTTGTTGTGGGGTAGATATGAACATTTCGACGTTCGCTCGCACGGCTGTGTTCTCAGACTGGTTGTAAAGCGGATTACGCGTCTTTGCCCATTGACTACGGAATGTGACCAGCCTGACGACGATGATCATGCAGGCTGTCATTGCATTAGTCGCTTTGTGGCAATTGTTTGCGACGTCATCTGGCCTGAAGCAACTGCGCAAACCTCGCGGATGTCATACATGGTGTGTGCTGTTGCAGGCTCTTCATCCTGACCTCCCAGCCCAGGCTGTCGATATCTTTGGAATGTTGGAGGTGGAAATGTCGGCAAATGATGACCCGAAAAACAAGGAGCGGTTGTACTGGATCATCAAGTCTGTGGAAGGGGTACGCTCATTGCGATGCGTGCCGGTGTGCGCATCCGTGTGTTGTCGTCCTGCCGATATTGTTACCATAATGCACACAACACGAAGATAATTATCGGCCATCCCAATCGCTTACCTGAGATGCATTGTGCACTGATGGAAACTGCTGAGTCCAACTCGTGTTGCAAAGCTATTGGAACAAGCTCCGTTTAGCGACAGCGTGTAATTCGTTCCAGGTTGGACGAACATGTAAGTTGTGACGACTGTCGCAGTGGCTATACCGTGCTCTCCACCAGCAATGTCACCGTGAAAAATGGCTGATGCCGGCACGAGACGCTTAGTTACGATGATTCTGACCAGTGCGTCTGGCCATAGTATGGGCACCAACGACATGTCATGCTGTTGCAGGCGGTATCGAACCAGCTGCTGCGGGAGCGAATGGAGGTGGAGAGTTTCCCTCACATCGGCGTCGTGAAAAACCCCAAGGCTTTCAACTCGAAGTTCATCAAGCTGAAGACGAAGCTCTAGTAAGCCATTCTCCGAGGAAGGGCGGTGGTATCCCTGCTTTCTGCTTCTTGTGCCGCGAGACTCTGCGACTTGCGGAAGCCGTTTCATGCAGCATTCGCCAGATCTTGAACCGGCTTATTCACTGTTTGTTTGTTTGCAATAATTCGTGCGCAGTCTGTCCTATGTGTCTCAGCCCTGGCGCGATCATGCATCTATCGGTCTTGCGACATATTTAGAATACTCGAGTGCGTGCCGGAATCGCATTAGCAGTGGAGCGCGCTTCTCGCTATGCCGTTGGTAAATGTCGCTGATTTTCAGCTACAAGCAGCGCAAGTTCAACCTTTTCCGTGAGGAGAGCGAGGGGTACGCCAAGCTGCTGGTGGAGCTCAATCAGGAGCAGCCAGCCTCGTCCTCCCCAGAGCAGATGCTGGAGATTATCAAATCTGTCATTGGTAAGTATGACTTGTCTGGGGCGGCAGCAACCAATATGTTAGTGCTGACGACCAGGGCCGCGTGCTTTTAAGCTGAACCATCTATAATTAATTTGGCAGAAAGTGGGCCTGGCTTTTTGAACTAGTGGACTTCAAAACGCATGCGTTGCTCCTATGGTTTCTAATGCTCATGGGACAACGCAAGACAACGATGTAACTTCATGTCAACAGTTCTTTGTGACGGATGTTCACACCGTAGAAACACAGTCCTGCCTCGAGCCGCCAAGGCCTAGTCCCCTCCCCCTACTCCTCCCAGGCGGCCCCATCTGACGCCGCCCCCCCCCCCTCCCGCCGTCTCGCGCAGGCTGCTTCAACCTGGACCCGAACCGAGTGCTGGACCTGCTGCTGTCGTCGCTGGAGGCGCGGCCGGAGCGCCACGGCTTCCTCGTGGGCCTGCTGCGGCTGTACATGCCGTCGGCGGCGACGGTCAGCGAGATGGTGGGCGCCAAGTACGGCTTCTGCCGGCGCCAGCCCGGCCAGGAGGAGGCCGAGGCAGTCACGCCGCGCTCGCTCCACCTCATGACGGCGCTCCTGCTCCGACACGGCGTCATCCAGCTGGAACACATCTGGCCCTGGGTGCGTGTGCGGCCGCCGGAGTTGGCGCAGCGGAGCTGGCGCGTACGTTCAGAGCTCGGACGTGGACGTGGTCGGCGCGGAGCAGTCCGATGAGGCGTATTGTATCACATTACCTGACCGTTGGCGGCCTTGTTAAGGGTACGAAGCTTCGGCTGTAGTGCCTACTCGTTATGTGCTGTGAGCAGCCGGCCGCGAACTAAGATGCAGCGATTCGACAGTGTTTTGCGGTGTGTGCTGATTTAGCCCTGGCTCCCACGGCCGTGAGCCCTTGGCGTGTAGTCCGCTTGGGAGTGTGACATACCCGCCCTCATCTGCAGAAGTGTACGCGAAGTTTTCGTCGAGCGTGGTGCTCTGTTTTTTCTGCACCCAGGGCTGCAGCTTATCTGTGCGCGGAGCTTCCGTGTCTTTCCTGACATGCCGTGCCGCGGTGTCCAGCGTATTCTCACGCCGCCCTGTCGTGCCCCATCGCCGCGGCTCCTCGCCCTTCGCCGTTTCCCAGCGCCGTCCGCACTCTCGGCGGCGCACTCAGACCGGCGGTGTCCCCGGTCTGACGCTGCCCCTGCCGCTGCAGCTGCTGCCGGCCGACTCGGCGGTGGAAGCGGAGCACCGGCGCCAGATGGCCGCCGCCGCCGAGTACCAGCGGCGCACGTTCGTCGTCTCCACCAAGGACAAGGAGGACAGCCCACGTGACGCCGAGCTGCCGCCGCTCGCGGTGAGGCACCGTCCAGCGCCGCCGCGCCGCCTGTGGCAGCGGCCGGCTGTCGGGCAAGGGGAGGGGGGGGGGGGGGGGGGTCGTCGATTTCGACGGTCATTGGGACGGTAAGCCGGCGTTGCGGAGGAGTTGCTCAAGTGTGACGCGTCATGAGCTTTTCTCCGGGTCCGCCAGAGCTGTGATGTTCGCCAGCGCGGCGTGACGATCGCACGCGTGTGCTGACTGGGCCCCCGAGCAGTCTCCCTCGGGCTGCGACTCCCGCCGACCCCCGCCGCCCGTGTGACGCCCGGTCCCGGGCCGCAGCCGCTGTCGCAGAGCCAGAAGCTGGGTCTGTGCGAGGCGGTGCTCTCGGTCGGCGACTGGGCGACGGCGCAGCGCATCATGGCGCGGTTCCCGGACTTCTGTCTGATGGTACACCCGGACATCGCGGCCGCCGCCTGCCGCCTGCTCGCCGTCCGGCTCGACCCCATCTACAGACGGTAAGGGCCCCGCAAACGGAGGAGGCGTACAGATCGACCGTGGCCGTGCGGGGTGTGTGCACAAACGTTGCGGACTCGAGGACCGTATGCTCTGGACTCGGAGCTCGAGGTCGAATCCCCCGCGCACTGTGTGAATACGTCACCGACTGCCTGGGAGTGAGGGCTTTGGGCCGTCCAGTTCGTCAAGCTCGTAACCCAGCCTCGCCCGCGTCGATGCGTGACGCGTCGCTGATGACGCCGGGCAGGTACAGCGGCCTGACGGCGGCGCTGGAGCCGGCGCCGCAGCCGCTGCCGCCGCTGCTGGAGGCGCGGCCCGACTGTCAGCTGGCGGACGTGCGCTCCGAGGTGGCGCCGCTGCTCTCGGCCATCGGGCCCTACCTGGCCGCCGACGTGCGGCTCGTGTACAAGGTGCTGCGGGTGGCGCGCACCGCCCACCGCCAGGTCAGTGGCCCAGTCGGCGATCAGTGGTGGCGGTCAGGTCAGTGGTCTGTGGCCCGGGACGTTGGTGCGACCTGGCGAAGATGGAGCGCGATGTGGCCAAAGGGTGAAGTTGGTGTCGGTGGGTAATTCGTCCATCGTGTCAGCCTTGAAGAAAGTGTATCATGACAATAGCTTTTGAATTTGATTGGTGCGTCGACTAACATATTTTTGTTGTTGTTTGCTTCACCCGCCATGCAGTGGCCATATTCATGCTGCGTAATCGCGGATGCGGAACACCCTCTATCTCACGCCTCAAGGCACCGATCGCCAGCTGCCCGTTGGCCGTCACTGGCCATTCTGAGCTCGTGCCTTCCGGCCTGGTCACAGCGGCTGCAGCAGCCGGAGCCGGACTCGCCGGAGACGCGTGAAGCGTTCCTCTTCTACGACGTGCTGACCATCCTGGAGGAGAGTGTGCTGCCCTGCCTGGTGCTGCTCGAGGCCAACTGCTGCCTGGCCGAGGAGATCTGGACCGTGCTCAACTTCTACCCGTACCAGCACAGGTGGGGCGGGTGGAGGGGGTCGGTCGGTCGCATCTGGCGACGATCACTTCTGCTGGTCAGCTGTATTACACTTTGGCGCTTTCTCTGAAGACCGTCGTTGTTGGAACACCTGCTTCGTTACGCCTTTGGCACAGTTGATAGATTTTTAATTGAGAGGGCAGCGACCACGCGTTATTTCCGCCGCCTTAGGTACCGGCTGTACGGCACGTGGAAGAACGACAGTCACAAGCCACACCCGCAGCTGATGCGGAAGAGGGCTGACTTCATCAAGATGTCCAAGTCGCTGATGAAGCGCATCAGCAAGGAGAACGTCAAGCCGCTGGGTCGGCTCATGGGCAAGCTGACCCACAACGCTCCTGGCTACATGTTCGAATACGTGAGTGTGCACGTCCTGACTTCAGGCTGAAGTTTTCGGAGCACCAGCGACCAATATCACTTCCGGATTGGTTTGAGGGAATAAACGCATTGCCAGAAGGTGGAAATTGGCCGGGGGAATGCTCTTTGGCTCGTTCTCCCCCGTTCCATTTTACGGTGTAGCGATCGCATCGAGGACGGTCGGCATCCGTGTCCCACAACGTCCCGTCTGCGCGGTGGTGGCGAGTGAGTGCCTTGTGATATTCAGCTGCCGCCCGTGCCCGCGAGGTGAGGGCGGCCTGGCTCATCAGTGGCCGCTCGTCCGGCGCCGCAGATGCTGGGCCAGATCCAGATCTACGACAACCTGATAGGGCCGATGGTGGACTCGCTCAAGTACATCACCAACCTGTCGTACGACGTGCTCGGCTACTGCATCATCGAGGCGCTGGCCAACCCCGAGAAGGACCGCACCAAGCATGACGGTACGGCCCGGCCGGCCCAACCGGATGGCCGATGGCTCTGTATTGGGGGAACACACCCGTGTATTGGTGTTGTCTGTTGCGTGTTGCGGGACACCTTTCCATCTAACCCGTAAGCCCTAACAAATTCGGTTTGGTGTGTGTAAATGGGGAGAGGGAGGGGGGGGGGGGGGGCTGGACCGTAGGCAGCGTTTCGGTGGTTACGGATAGCCAAGTTTTGGAAACGTGTTTCCAATTACTATGCCCAGTGGTGGCGTCATTGAAGTCGAATGCGCAGTTTAGCAAGATCAGTTTGGAGGGAGGGGGCTGAACAACGTGAAAGCGGCTAAAACTTCCTTCTCTTCCACACAATGGTCAATTTTCACGGATTTACCATTTAGCACAGGGAGCTAGAATCGCTTTTGAACTAGGGTGGGAGTGAAAAATTCCATCGCAAAAGGACCGTGCGGGAATGAAAAAATAAATTCACAAAACATGGAACTTATGAGCTCGTGACCAATGCTTCAGCAAACAAAGACATTTATGTCAGGTTGGCATGGACGTAATATCAGGAATCTAAAACTATTTCGTCTTTTGACATCTTAGGCCATTAAAGTGAAACAGAATACATAAACAGGCACTCGGGTGGGGTGGGGGGCAAATTGCCCCCCCCCCCCCCAGGGCTTTTTCCAAATGGTTTCTGAACGGCGCGGCGTAGCCGCACCAAATTTTGCATAGCTGTAGAAAATGGCATAGCGGATCGTTTGGCATACAAATTTGAGATGTACCCTGTAAGATCGCGGACCTTTGACAGGTCAAAGTCAGCCCACGGTTTCAGCAAAGGCAATTTCTAGGGAATCGTTCAATCTGGTACAACAACGGAGTGTGTGACGAAGAGCATACATTTCTGAGATGCTTTCTTAGGTATCACAAATATTGAATAAGCAAATTACGCTGACCTAAGGTCAGGTATGAAGGTCAGAACATGGTCAAAGCCAACCTGATTTATTACTCTAGAGCTTGCTGTATGGGATAGTTTCTGGTGCTCATTTCGAATTTATTGACAGCAGGAACCACATTATACATCTCCAATTCACTTCTTAGAGGTCAGAACAGGCAACCGACCTAACATGAACTGGGTCGGCCTTTAGCGTAATCTTTGTGGCTTACTCAAATATAAATCTCAGGGCAGTCTTGTATCATTTTGGTCACCATGACATTCAAAGGGTCAAACAAGGTCAATGACTTCAAATGGGCTTGTGACCTTTCGCTTAGAGGCAGTTGCCTTGGTTCTGGGGGCACTTAGGAGACCATCCTGGAATTCGACTTTGTTTGACCTTATTTGACCTGAAGGTCATGACCTAGGTAGCTGAAACCGTAACGTAAGGGAGTTCACATATAGGCCAAGACACACTGTAAATTTGGTGTCTCTAGCTTTCTTAGTTCCCGAGGTCTCAGAGGGGGGTCAAATTGACCCCCTCCCCCCCTCCCCCACCTGAGCGAAGGGTATCTAGCCGGCCAACCGGGAACGTGTTAAAGCGTAGTAATTTCATGACAGCATTGTGAGCGTAGCAAATTATTAACACCAATAATTTGATGCTGCACTTTTCAGTTCCCTTCCACAGCACTTTTAAAACAAAACAAAGCAAGTAAATTCAGTCACAAAATAGCAAAAAATTCAACAAGCACAAAACACTGAAACAAAAAATCCTTGGACTCCTACACATCAGCCCCATCACCAAGTCAAACACAATAGACATACTTCTGGCTTCTGTTAAGATGGGGTCAGGGAAAACAAACATTTTGTCACTGTTTCTTACAAAATACCAATGCTTATTTCCATGAAAGTAGCCTGTGCCTAACTTAAAGAGGCCTTGCATCATCTCATCCTTTATAACCTGTTTGTATCACAGCAGCAGTTGTGAGTTACTGATTCTTGCACAATTCCTATCGCCACTTGACATGCACTTAACCAACTTAACCTAACTTAGAGTAGCCCATATGATGAACATCATCTCAACTCACCTATCTGTTGACAGCAGCACTTGTGATAAAAACATGATACCTAAAGCTAGTTTTTGGCTGGTTTCAACTTGCATTTTTATTCAGTTCGTTTGTGTATGCTTGTTGACATCAGGCAAAGTTGACAACACACAAATCAAAACACTTTAAATCACTTTGAACAACTTATTTTGATTGTCATGGTTAACCTGTCAAGGGCAATAATGGGTATGCTCCAAAAAAAACGATCTCTCTTCTCCAAAAGTAACATGACTTTTAGATGACCATGCCAGTATTGCTGCTTGCCTTTTCAGGCGCAGCAGATGCATCCATTTGGGCTTGTTTATTCATATTTAATGACAAAGTATGGGATGTTAGCTTCACAGTTTAAATGAGATGGTCTGACTATTACACACTAATATTTAACTCATATTATAATTGCTATGCAGCCTGAAGTATCCCTGTGCTAAAAATATAGTGCATGTATACAATACAGTCACTTGCCAGTCAGCAAACCATGAGAACTATAGAAAACATCTGGTTAAAGCAGCCATGAGGGACCACTTTAAGAAATTTGGGGCAACTAACCAAGAATATTGAACAAAGTAAGTCCATTGCATGCCTTGTGGCATCATAATTTGTATTATGACAAAACCCGATGGATTAAAACAGAAAATGGCTAACTCTGGTTACCAATCATGTGTTGAAAGCAGGTAAGGTAAGCAAGTACTTGGTCCACAGGAGACTTACTGGCTTCTTCCTGCTTCCCAGCTAACACTTCTGTATTAGCTACGTCAGGTCTGTCCCAAGGCCCTGTATGGCAGCATTACGATAGCCTTCCAAGGTAGCCTGGTGATTCAGACACTCGAAAGGCTTATATTTATCGTTGTTGAGCGCCGCCATGAACCAAGAAAACGGTTAACCGAGGGCTTAAGAGGGCAAAAATGGCGGTAAAAATAAGTTCGGTGCTTCAAATTGTCTCCTTCTTTCCCTGTGAATTGCTCACGCTTGGGTGCGTATCAAACATGTTTGGGCGGCTGGCGAATTAATCCAATTTATGTATGAATTACGTACAAGTCTGCAGTTTGAGCGGAGAAATTGGTCAAAATTTTAAGTAGCAGATAGTGCCTTTAAAGACAATCGAAAAGGAAGGAAGAATAAAGTGTTATCACACTCGCATGATACCAAGACAAACAAAAGTAGCTAAATATTTGTAAAGACTGGTACTTTTCTCGCAAATTTTGTAATCAGCTGACTTGACTTAAAATCTGTTAACATGAGTGCTCGAATGATGATATTCATCTGGTAAGTTTAATTTAGACGACATTTCTTGAACTTTTCACTCTTGTATTTCAGGAATGATGCAATTTAGTGGTCAAGTTTCCTCGGGGGAAAAAAGTGGAGTAAAATTATCTACCAGGCCTTGCTGGTGTTTGCACTAGGCTCTGCTTTCGTGGTGTGGTGGTGAGACCAAACAATAAAAAATAGGGGATGCGGGAAATCCTTGCATTGGTGCACAGCTGCAGATTGTGATGCACTTTGTAAACAAACCAAACTTGATGCGTGCAAGCGGCTGGGGTCGCTGGGGCTCTTGGGCTTGGAGGTACCTGGCGCCCTTGCTCTGTGCATACATAGACATGATTCAGATGTAGGTGGGGCAGGACGTGGTCATAGGCGTCCAGGTTCTGCGGAGCCTCGTTTATGCTTGGTGGTTTCAAGTGAGCTCGGTTATGGATAACATCTGAAAACCTCAGAAAGGGGAATAGGGGTTTGGCATGTGCGATTAGACAATGTCAGGCAGGAGTGAAAAATTCACATAAAATATGGGGAAAAGGAGTGAAAAATTCCTTCTCATTGGATGTTGCTTTACACACAAAGTCGGCAATTCTAGGACACCGCTTTAGCATGTCTGGCCAGCGGGCCGTCCGGCTGGAACGCCTCCAACTGAGAACAAGTTTCACCTTTGATTGAAGTGATGGCGCGTGCTGACTGCGGTGGCGCTAGGGCGTTCCGTGCAGTCGGCGGGTACCAGCGCTGCAGAGTCCGCGGGTGCTGACGGTGGGCGGGGCATGGCTACACCAGTCAGAATCCGTTCTGAACACTTCACCATTGACGTGACTCGAGGGACGTCCGACTCTTCCATGATCCGATGCTGTGCGATCAGCACGGCCGCGGCTGCTCATTTAGCGTTCGCAGACTGGCTGGCACCCAGACGGTTCAGACGGAGGGATCTCGCGGTGTCGGGGTGCTAGCAGTTAGTTCGGGGAGGTTCGAAGTGTGACATGTGACGTGTGACATGTGACGAGTGACGTGTGATGTGGTCGATGCGCCGGCCGCTGATGTGACGTCGTCGGCCGGCAGGCACTTCGCTGTCGCTCTGGCTCACCTCGCTGGCCAACTTCTGCGGAGCCATGTTCAAAAAGTACAACCTAGACCTCACTGGGCTCATGCAGTACGTCGCCAACCAGCTCAAGTCTATGAAAAGGTGAGTCGGTGCCTGAAGCTCGTGGAGAGGCGGGCGTTCATTTTAGGAATTCTACTTTTGATGTGTATTGGGATATATATATATATATATATATATATATATATATATATATACTGTATATTCCAGATAAACGAACATTGTACTCTATATGGGGAGCACAGTCATCGATATTGAAGCCATTGTGTAGGTGCGTGTCCTTCAGGCTCGCTTGTGTCCGTGCACTACGTCACACCTAACGCAGGCGGGGCACTGGCGGTGATTTGGAGGCGCGCGCTGGCATTGGCTCGGCAAGCGGTGTGCCGGTTGGGTGCTGCCAGTGCTGTACGCCGGCCTGAGCCGTCACGTCGGCACGCACGCCACTAACGCCGCGTCCCCGCGCGCGGGCAGCCTGGACCTGCTGATCCTGCGCGAGGTGGTGCAGAAGATGGCCGGCGTCGAGGCCGTCGAGGACATGACCGAGGAGCAGCTGTCGGCCATGGCCGGCGGCGAGATGCTCCGGGCCGAGGTCAGTGGGCTGCATACCCCTGGGCGCTTCGGCACTGGTTACCAGGACCGGACTGCGGCGGGCGTACAATTCGCGTAAACGGCATGCCGAGGCGACCGGTAGCGTTGTGTGTAAAGACATTGAGTGCCAAACATGTCACGACGCTCGATGTTTTTTGTTCGCCGTATGTTAAGTGCACTGCGGCTGCGAATAGTTGGTGGAAAAAAAAGGCTGTACCTGCCTGATGTGTATGAATGACGTCATTGCGGCAACTTACCATGCCGATATCAAGCGGGCTTGGCCTGGCACAGGGTGCTCGACCTTGCCTTTCCGACAGCACATCGCTGTCAGCTAAACGCGACTGACAACTGAACGGCAGCTTCTGGAGCCAGAGGGGCCACGTGGCAGTCGGCCCCAGGTCAGACGCACCCAGCGCCGGCCTCTCGCGGCACGGCTGACCCGGTGGGGCGGTGTCTCGAGCTCCGCTGGCGTTGTCAGCTGCAGGCTGACCCTCTTTCCTTGGCCGGCAGGCGGGCTTCTTCAACCAGGTACGCAACACCAAGAAGTCGTCGCAGCGACTGAAGGACAGCTTGATCGACAACGGCCTGATGGTGCCGATGGTGCTGCTGATGGCGCAGCAGCGGCACTGCGTCGTCTTCAAGGAGACCGAGGGCTCCCACCTCAAGCTGGTCGGCAAGCTGTATGACCAGGTGCGATCGCTGGTACCGCCGGTGTCGCTGCGTCACGTGGTGTCAGGCGGTCCAGACCAGCGTCGCTTGTCACGGTCACGTGATGTTTGGAGTGCCAGATGCGTTGCCATGGGCGTTAAGCGTGTGTCAACGGAAGCGAGTTGTGTTTTGTGTTGTGCGGGGGTTTGTCCGTGATTAGTGGATCAGGCCCGGTCAAGTGGGACCGGGACCGAAAGCTGCCATCAGTGTTTCGAAGTCGGCTTAGCGCGGTCGTGCGCGCGCCGCCCGTGGCCTGACCCCGGCTGCCCCTCTCCGTCCGGCAGTGCCAGGACACCATGGTCCAGTTCGGCATGTTCCTGTCGTCGGCCCTGAGCATCGACGACTACCGGCAGCGGCTGCCGGCCTTCGAGAAGCTGCTGTCAGAATTCCACGTCAGTCCGGACGTGGCGTTCTTCCTGGCGCGGCCCATGTTCACGCACGCCATCCAGGTGAGCGGGCTGTGTGTCGGCTGTGTGTCGGGCTGTGTGTCCCTCGTCGGTCCCGCCGGCCCGACACGGGACTGGTGGGGTGCTGTGAGCGCCGGTACGCCGCGAGCCGCCGACACGGGACTGGTGGGGTGCTGTGAGCGCCGGTACGCCGCGAGCCGCCGGCTCCGGGGTGGGGTCTGTGTTTGGCGGTGGCATTGTACTGGGAAGAGTCTTGTTGATCGCCTGACTATTATATCCGTGACGCACGTAGCACATTGAGTAATGAGCGTTGATGGGATTGTGTACGTGTGTATAGGCGTGGAAAAGTCGCCAATAATTCATCGCGCACGTTGCCGTTTTCCTCTACATGTTCTTCAACACACCCTTTCGTCCACTACTGACTGGTGTTTTCTGTCCCGAACACCGGGGCCGCTTGTGTCATGGCCAGAGCGCCGCCAGCGCCTTCGATGCGTCGCTTCCTCGCTCACCGGCCCGTGCCGCTCTGCAGCAACGGTACGACGAACTGCGCAAGGCCGAGAAGAACCACAAGTCGCTGTCGGTGGAGCAGAAGCGCGACAAGTACCTGGCGGCCAGCGAGCAGGTGCTGGCGCCGGTGGTGGCGGCCGTGGTGCCCGTGTTCCCGGCCAAGACTTGGGACGACATCAGTCCTGAGTTCTTCACGTCGTTCTGGTCGCTGACGCTGAGCGACCTGCGCGTGCCGACCGAGAGCTACGAGAAGGAGGTGCGCCGGCTAAAGCAGCAGGCAACCCAGCTGGGCGACAACCGGGACCTGGTGAGTGGGCGCGGCTGGGGGTGGATGGGTGTGGGCGGGGGAGGGGAGGGGCCGGACTGCGAGAGGTTGGCGGATGTCTGAGTGGGCGCGGCCGGGGGTGGATGGGTGTGGGCGGGGGGAGGGGAGGGGCCGGACTGGCGAGAGGTTGGCGGATGTCTGAGTGGGCGCGGCCGGGGGTGGATGGGTGTGGGCGGGGGGAGGGGCGGGGCCGGACTGCGAGAGGTTGGCGGATGTCTGAGTGGGCGCGGCTGGGGGTGGAGGGTGTGGGCGGGGGGAGGGGAGGGGCCGGACTGCGAGAGGTTGGCGGATGTCTGAGTGGGCGCGGCCGGGGGTGGATGGGTGTGGGCGGGGGAGGGGCGGGGCCGGACTGCGAGAGGTTGGCGGATGGCCTTGGAAGGGTTGGAGCTGTTGATGGGTCAGATTTTTGTGCTGGAAAGGACTAGGCAAACTTTTGGGTTAACTGGCAATAGTGTATGCATAATTTGGGGCTCGCGGTGGAGAGGGGTAACAAAAAATGAGAAAGAGAATGTGTATACTGTTTTTTGTTTCCATATGTATGGGACTTAATGGACGGTTAGTAACCACCATTTTCATCTCTTCACACCCCTGATCATGTGTTTACACTGCCCCCTTTTGTCAATCTTGCATATAATGCACGTTCCATTTCAATGGCCACAATCCCCATTTCTTTCCAAAAGCTTTGCACTCATCGCCCGTACCAGTGTGGAAGAACATGTCACCTCTGCGGGCTCGCCGTTCCACCACGAGCCTGACGCGCCGCTCCTGTGCGTCGCAGACGGAGAGCAAGCGGAAGAAGGAGCAGGAACGGTGTCAGGCGCTCATCGACAAGCTGCACGAGGAGGAGAAGCGCCAGAAGGAGCACGTCGACCGTGTGATCGCCCGCCTGAAGAAGGTGCGGGCTCCGTGTCTGTCGGGTTACCATCGGATGCAACTGTCTCGACTACGGCTGTTAAACCTTCCAGCGTTGAATCAGGTGTTTGGGCCTCGTCAGCTGATGACTGTGACCCCCGCCTGCCTGTCTGGCCCCCACCCCGTGCTGACGTCGCGCCGCTGTCCGCCGCAGGAGAAGGACTCGTGGTTCGAGCCGCGCCAGGCCAAGTCGGCCAAGACGGAGACGATGACGCAGTTCGTGCAGATGTGCCTGTTCCCGCGCTGCGTGTTCACCTCGATGGACGCGCTCTACTGCGCCGAGTTCGTGCACACCCTGCACAGCCTGAAGACGCCAAACTTCTCCACGCTCATCTGCTACGACAGGGTGGGTCCACTGATGGACGCGACGGCGTCTGCCAGAGGAGGCGCCGCACCAGCGTGGTATGCGGGTCACGGCGGAATGGTACGGAGTAGCGTGCGTGTTGGGTTTCAGAGCTGCGGACCGCTGTCAGGTAATGAAGCTCGGTTCACACCGGCTCCGTAACGACTCCGCGACGCCTCCGTGAGGCGACAGCCCCGCAATGGTGGGAGGAGCGTAAAGCTGCGCATGGGCAGAAGTGTCGAGTAGTCTCGCCGCGCCTCCGTCACAGTGTGAGCCGGGAAGGCCTCTCCGGATTGCTCGCTGCACACAGCAAATGCGCCGTGAGTGGATTTAAAGCTGGATTATGCAGGTTATAAATGCTCAGTGAGTTGAAGCATTCGAATCTATGCAGACTGAGATGCGTTATTTTGAAGACTAAGAGCACATGCTGGGCGGAGAGTTTTCCATTTATGTCAGAGGATTGAGGTTTGGACACCGGTTGTCAAATAACTGGTATTTTTACATTGGCTCCACCAGTTCTTTGTGTCAGTTTTGCTGTTGTCCATTCTTAGCAAATCATGGAAACCTCAATCCTCCCTTTCCCTTCTCATGAAAACAAATTTGACTTCCCGCTTCGCAACAACGGCTCGTGTGCGCCTCATTCGCTTATCTTCTACACGCAAACATACCAGGAAGATCAAATCGTCCCCAATGCTCAGGAAAAGAAGCAAGCATTCATACCCTAACGCACGCAAGGTTGCAATATTGCCGTCCGCACTTCGTCAAGGGTTGAAAACCCCCAACCTGCTCCATAACGTTACGGAGCTGTTATGGAGGTGGCCAAGCGTCCAGAGGTTGCCAAAGTTTATGCGATTTTTGTGACTATTCGAGACCTTTTTGTACAGCTTTTTGCGTTGCGGTTGTCTATATCGCTACGGAATCACTGTGAACCGGGCTCGGGACGGAACGGTGAGTGAAAGCGGTCGGATTCCAGCCGCTTGTCTGACACGGCCGCCGGGACGCATGTCGGGGCGGCGCTGTCTGCGGGCCTGTCGCCGGCTCTCTGATACGTGGGAGCAGCATCCCAACGCGGGTCAGCCGCGCAAACACGCCGAGCTGCGTGTCAGTCCGCAAGTGTCACACGATAACTGCCATGTATCAGCGGGCATTGCGGTGCTGTCACTGGTGTGTATCGCCCATTTCGCCGAGACCGCCGGTCCCGTTGCGTCCTGCTCCGGCCATCACCTCGCACCATTCCCGCCCGTCACTGTTGGCGCCCGGCCTCCGGCAGCTGTTCTGCAACATCACCTACACGTTCACGTCGTGCACGGAGAACGAGGCGTCGCGCTACGGCCGCTTCCTGTGCGCCCTGCTGGAGACGGTGATGCGCTGGCACGGCAGCCGCGAGGTGTTTGAGCGCGAGTGCGCCTTCTTCCCCGGCTTCGTCACCAAGTTCCGCGTCTCCAACAAGCAGAACGAGCGCAGCGACCACGTCGACTACGAGAACTACCGCCACGTCTGCTTCAAGTGGTTCTATAAAATCACCAAGGTTGGGATTCGGAGCGTCGTGGTGAAGATGCAACACAAGGCGCCACACTGGAATGTGCGCACTTTTCTTTGTAGAGTACTGGTAATTTCAAGTGATGTTCAAGTAGATTGCAGGCTGGAGTTTGGTGAGCACCTGCGTTACAAACGAGATGCGTCGTCTTTTGTTGGCATCCACTGCCTCTATGGACTGTTGATTATCCGCTTCAAAGCCCAGTGCTGCTTCCATGTACGCTCCTTTGTTTTGGTTACTCTATCGCCGGTTATGCCTGCCGTAATATGGTTTTCACATTCATTGTATTGTCTCAAACTTAATGTAACTGCGCACGCCAAACAGGGAATTGCCAAATACGCCTGCGCCCTCCTAGGCAGCCTTCGTCGCAGTTCTCAGCTAAATAGAAACAGCAGCACGTCAGAGCCAAACGCCAGCAGTGAGCCGCCGCCGGCACGTGCCCATCCCTGACCCGGCCTGCGGTCATTGGTAGGCGATCGTCACCTGCCTGGACAGCAAGGAGTACGTGCAGATTCGTAACGCGCTCAAGATCCTCATCAAGATCCTGCCCTGCTACCCGGTGCTTAGTCACGTGGCCAACATCGTCGAGAAGAAGGTGGAGGCGGTGAGTGAGAGGCGGACGTCGCGCCGCCCGGATGGGGCTCGCCGCGGCGCTGGCGTGGTGTCGCCGGTTCGTCATCGCTAGGGAGGGGGGGGGGGGGGCGTCGCAGTGTGATAGGGGAGGCTAGAGTCCGTGCAGTGTCGTGACATACAAGTCGTCTGAGCCCCAGGGTAGGCAGCAGCATTCCTGCTGACGTGATTATGGGGTGGAGATGGTTTGTGGTGCGAGATGTCCCACGCATGTTGGCTGTCACCCCCACTCTGCATAATGGAAACGTCGCTTATGCATTTCCATGGAAACGCCTGCTCTTGCAGCTCTGTTTGTTATAGTCGCTTGTTTGTAGTCAATATATGGAGCTTTTGAAGAGCGTATGAAGACTGCTGAGATCTAAGAACTCTGCAACAGCGATTTGTTGCCCGTCCTCCGCGTTTTGGCCTTTCTGGGGCTAGTCCGGACGCGGGCGAGAATCTGTGCGCCAGTAAGCGCAGTTGAAACCGGCACTGTGTCAGCAGGGCGGCTTACCTGACCGTGTGCCCAGCTGACACCCCAGCTGAGCCGCTCCCCGTCCGCTGGCCGCAGGTGATTCAGGCGGAGAAGAACAAGCGGCAGGACCTGGCGCTCATGGCCACCAGCTACGCCGGCCTGCTGCGCGCCCGCAAAACACACCTACATCCCCGAGAAGGACTTCCACACAGTCGACAAGAGCAAGGTCGGTCCGCCGGGCGGTGTTGGGCCGCGCGCCCCTCATCGTCGTTGGTGGTCGAAATCCATCAGCGGTAACGCGGTCTGGATAGAGCGGTTTCATCTTGTCGGATCTAGGACCCAGAAATCCTTCCTTTTCCAAATTAGACCTCGGACTGGCTTCGGACGCTGACACTGATGGCTCAAGTGTTCACGCTATCTCGTCGCCTGACAAGGCTCAGTCGGGCATTGTGGTGGCGCCCCCCGACGGCCAGCTCAGCCGCCCCGCTCTCTGACTGCGGTGTCTCGCCACAGAAGCCGGCCGCGGCAGCCGCCGCCCCGGCCGCCGCCACCGCCACCGCTGCCGCCGCCGCCGGCACCACCGCCACCGCCACCACCACCGCCGGCAGGGAGGCGCGACCGACCAAGGCTGGCGCCGACCAGGAGGCGGCCGCCGTCGCCAACGGTGTGACCGCGAAGCACGGTAAGCAGCACGGAGCCTGACTGAGAGTCGGCCTACCGGGCACGGGGCGACCCTCTCTCAGCCTGGCCATGCTGTGTGATTCTACAGAGTTAAAGGTGAAGGCTGGTGTAGACGGCCAGGATAGACTTACGGATGTCAAAGTTTCTCGGGAAGTTAGGGGTGTGGCTCGGGCGCGGGAGGTGTAGACTGGTCCGTTCCCCTCGTGACTGGAAATGTCTGCCTTACTGGTGTGCACCACCTGCACGTGTTGCGCTCCGGCTGGGCACCTCTAAGCGTGCCCCGTCCGTCGGCAGAGCCGGCCGAGCCGCCGGCCGAGACGGTGACGGTGAAGCAGGAGCCGCCGCGGCAGCGCGAGACGCCGGATAACGCCGACCGGCGGGAGAAGCGGGACGGCCGGCCGCGCGAGCGCGCCAAGGACGACGAGTGAGTGCGGCGACCCCCCGGCCGCCGGCTGCAGGGGATGTGTGGTGTGTGCAGGCGAACGATCCGCGTCGGCTAGTGCAGGCGGAGGACCGATTTGAGGGTGTAAACTCTCGAGGCCCGTCAAACTCGTGGCGTAATCTCTGGTCGCAGTTACATACGGCTGCTTGCCGATCTTAGCGGCACTGGCCCATGCCGCGAGCTCGGGTAACACATCTGACCTCGGCTGACTTTCGCCTGGACCTCAGCGCGTACCGTGCCTGTACCACATCGCCCTTGCCGAGCCCTGGGTCACACGGCGCTCCAGATACGGCGGCCGGCGGGTGACCTCAGGTCACGCTCGCTGCCTGCTCTGACCGGCGCCGTGACCACAGGACCCGGAGTCGCTCCGGCACGCCGCGCTCCGACCGCGCCGGCGCCCGGGAACGCAAGCACGACAGCAGTGAGGAGCGGCGCGACAAGAAGGCCTCCAAACACAGCACGCCAGAGTCGGAAACCAAAAGGTGTGCGGTGTCGCGTGGGACAGCCGGTCGCGCCGCCCGCTCGGGACGCGGCGCTGCGGGCTCGTGGGTCAGGTACACGTTGTGCTGGGGTTGTCCTTTGGCAGGTGTTTTTCGAGTGCTTCTGTGGTTCCGGTCCGATATTCCAGTCGCGTAAAAACTCATTGCGCCGTGTTTGTATTCGGGTCGCTCAGTGAGCTGGCTGCGCGCACGTGCTCGTAAAGTGTGGCCGTTGGTGACGGCTGCTGGCGACGGCCTGTGCTGCGCCGCGGTGTCAGCTGACTGACGGCGCTGACCTGCCGACCTCTGACCTGCTGGCCCGCTGACCTGCTGACCCGCTGACCCGCTGACCAGGTGACCCGCCGCGTGGAGAGGGAGTCCGATGAGATCCGCGTCGTCGAGGACGAGTACTTCGAGAAGCCGCGCCGGCCGGCCGGCTCGGCCGTGCGCAGCCTGCCCGAGGCCTCTGACGTCGACAGAGGTGAGTCCGCGCGCCGGCCCGCGGCGAGGACGTGACCGGCCACCGGGGGGCGGCAGGGTGCTGACGCGGTCGGCGCGAGCGTTTGGTTTTGGCATTATGAGGTCGTGTGTGCGTCCGGTGAGGATAGCTTTGTCTGTGCCTGGATATGGAGGCCAACATCGTTCGGTGGTCGCCAGGATGTCCGCTGTAGTGTCTGCTCTCTCGGCTCCCAGACACCAGCGGATTGTTGCGCTTGGCGGCACCGCCTGCGTGCCAGCGTCCGTGCCTAGTTCGCAGGCGTCGCTGACCCGCTGCTGTCTCCGTTCCAGAGGCCAAGCGCCGCCGAGTGGAGAGTAAGGTTAGTATTGACGTGAGTTGAGCGGCGGCGCGCGGAGGGAGCGCCGCGCCAGCGCCGACCGACCGCCCTCCGGCCGCCGCCGGGCGGTTCGCGCGCGCGCGCCGGCGCCGAGCCGCGCGGGCGTCGCCGTCGGCGACGGCGAGTCGCCCCGTCGGAGAGAAGCCCACCAGTGTGCATAGTTAAGTGTCGGCGCGAGGGAAGAGGATGCGGCCGCCGGTCGGCGGGTTGGACACGAGCAGCGTGAGCGGGGAGACGCCTCCCGGAGTGTAGCGCGCCGTCAACGCCGGGTGCGGGGGAAGCTGCGCGAGCACTGCAGCAGGAAGTCGTAACGTAAGGCGCCCATCGGAGTCGAGGTCTCCAGGAGCAGGCAGGAGGTTTGAAGCTCACTGTGACCGCGTCTTTCAAGGAGTTTTGTGATGGTTGCGCTGCGTGACGTCTCCTGATGTCTCTGCTGTGATGAGACTTATAATATTCTCCCTTTGCACAAAGATCGGGCTGTGATGTGTGAGCCCCGTCCGTAAACGAGGTCAGTGGTTAGTACAAGTCACGAGGTCTGCAGTACAAGATTTATGGAAAGCAAGTGAGCAGAAAAACAAGGGTCGGCGCTGCTGGAAATGTGCAGTTACCGGAGAGATCTGATAGCCGTACGCTACACCGTCACATAGGTAACGTCGGCGTAGACGGCTTGCTCTTGTTGAGGTCTGAATGGAAAACGGTCTTCATCTGGAGTTCTGCTTCTTCGACTCGTCCTTTCGATGGCCAGCATGATCTCCCGTCTCCCGCGGTCTCCTGAGCCGGCTGGGGTGCTCTCGCCGGTTGAAGGCCTGCGAGACGTACGCGCCTCCCCGCCGCCGCGCCCCTGACCGCGGTCACGCGTCTCCCGTCGGCGGGTGTCGTTTGTTCGTCCGGTCAAGTCCCGCTGCCCGGTCGGAGTCGGCGGCGGCGGCCAGCCGAGCGAGCGGCTACGGCCGCGCCAGCGCCCGCCGCGGGCCGGTCCCGACAGCGGAGCGGGCCGTCCGCCGGCGCCGTCAGCCCCGGAAGAGCCCAGGAGGATGCGCGTGGGACAGACCGTCGGCCAGAGGGCCAGTCGACGCCCGTCGGAGCCGCAGTCTCGACAAGCCCGGCTCCGACGGTGCAAGAGCTCGGACCCGTGACGCGTAACCAAGAGCGGAAGGGGGGCGACCGCCAGCCGCCCCGCCGGACGCAGGAAGACCCCCGTCGCGCGCGGCCGCCGTGTCGGGGCTGCTGGCGTCGGAGCGGCTGGCAAGTGTCGTCCAGGCCGCCGAAGCCGCCCTCTCGGTGCGCCGACGTTGATTCAGTGGCGCGGGTCGTACGTGTGTGCCGCATCGAAGTCGATGCTGCGCCCTCAGGTACTGTATCACAGCTGTTGCAGTCCAGTAAAGGAGGAACGCAGCACCCTGGCGTGTCCAGACCGCTAAAGCTCGGGCTGACTCGCTCTTTGCAATGCTGCCAAGCTTGTTCACGGTTAGAGTTCCGTTGTGCCGTGTGTGACGGTCTGGTTGTCCGTTTTGGCCTGGACGCGCGTGCTTCTTGGTTTGCCAGTCATGTTATTGTCGGTTGGTTTGGGTTTGGAAGCTTTCTTTCGCCAAAAATGGGGTCAGATGGCCGGCATATCTTATTACAGAGGTTGGACAAAATGCCAGAGAAGGACGAGGAGAAGAAAAAGAAACGGAAGAAGTCGGAGAAGGGCCTGGAGGAGGGGGAAATCAGAAACAAACGAGAAGACAAGAAGGAAAGGAAAAGGGTAAACCGCTGGATGTGACGAAGCGCATGTCGTGTGCTTGTTCCGCATGGGACGTCATTCCCGAGAAATGGCCGTGTTCGATGAGGCTGACTCAGCTTCCAAGGCCTTGGTAGTATATGACCCGAATGGCTTGTAACCCGGTGCGGTAACCAGTTGTCGGCCGAGCCTGCAGTAAACGGTAAAGTCACCTCTGACCGCTTAAACAAGCCCGACATTAATCAGGTCGTTAATTTAAACGTAGCGAGCTGTGACGCTTGTATTCTGCTAGTGTCCATTTAGTCTGGTGCCTTTTAGCCATGCTCTCCGTCTCGTCATTGGTGCCAGGCATTGGATCCGGCACCAGCTGACCTCTGTCACTATTTCTCTGTGTTGCCGCCAGTGCATTTCGTGTTGCGTGTTGCTGGTTTGCCATGCTGGCAGCAGTGTGGAGATCGCCCTCTGCTGCGCGCGTGCTGTTGCCGATGACGAACACACGCCGCCGGCAGGCGTCGCTGGACGACAGGGGATCGCCGATCGAGTCCAAGCGAAAGAAGGATGACGACAAGCCCGGTGAGTGGGCCAGGCGGCCGTGCTCGGTTCACGTTCACAGCGTGGACGGTCGGGCGCCGCAGTCAGCAGCGGGCTGCGGCAGTGGCATTGTTCCCCACTGCATGGCGACGGCTTCGCACCATGGAGAAGGGGCTGAATTTATGATGTGGAGGCTGTAGATCCAAACCCATCGCCTGGTAGTTCGCCCAATTTACCGTGAGACCGTCTCTCCCATGGTCTTAGTGGTTGCACTCGTAAAATAACCAAAATGTGCTCTTATTCCACTCCCATAGTGGCGAAGTGTCCCTGCGTCATTACACGGCTTCCTGAGCCTCGTATAACGTGCCCAGGGCCTGTCTGTGTCGCGCCGCCTTCTGACCCATGCTGATGTTTCAGCGAAGCGACGCTCCGAGGGCGATGAGTTCCGCGAGGTCAAGGACAAACGGAGGCAGAGGGTGAGCAGGGCGTCGCCCCGGCGGTGGAAGGGCCTTCGAGACCCACTACACAGTCCTGTGTGTTCAGCGGTCAGCAGATGTGCGAGGAATGATGCTTTTAATTCGTGGGGATGAAAGGCGTGGAAAGTGCAATTTCTCTGCTGGTTAATGAGTGGGCTTCTCGGATTGAATGCGCAGCGGGATCTAACAGGTCTGGCGCATGTAATGCCGGTGGGCTTAGAAGGTCGTCGATCTTGGGGTGATTTCCTTCGCGGCATTGTGCACATCTTGACATGCCACTGGGAAGACGCGTATTAAAAAATATCGCACATTGCGGTTTTACGGTAATCGTTATAGACCGATATGCCCGTTCTTTTGGAGACGGACTCTAAAATGCATTTATCATAGGGTTTGGAAAATTTCATCTGCACACCACTCATCCCCGACTCGCAGCAATCGACCGGTTGTTTTCCGTGCTCTCGTGGCGCGAGCTCGACCAGCTGTGGGCGGAAAGTCCTCCCAGTCGCGCGCTGTCGCAGCCGGTGCTGCAATCGGCAGCGATTAATGCTTTGGCCGCGAGCTCGTCCGGTATGCTGTGAGACGCTGCCGGCTATGTGGTGGTGGCGAAACTGGCGGCGTGGCCCGTCTGCCGGCGCGTGGGTGGTATGCGGCCGACCGCCGTGCCGCTGGGCAGGGTTGGCTCAAGGCTGGAATAGAAGTTTACACTCACTGGCTATGTTGAGGTCAGGCAGGACACGGCACTGCCCGTGTGGACGGGGTTCTCGTGCAGAAGTGTACTCACGGGGTTGGCAAGTCTGGTTGCAAGAAATGGTTATATTAGCGCAATTTGTTTAGATTGTCATGTTTGTGTGGAATGTCTTGTGGGATTGTTGTGATTTTTCATCATGCTCCTGTCATTCTCCCTCCACCGTTGGTAAGTTGCGGAGCGCCACTATTGTATTGTTCTACATATGACAAAAACAGATGGACCATTTGCTAAGCTCTTGCTACATCCGTCATTCCAGCATTTAGCAGGGGTACTGGAACTCCGAACGCGACAGAATAGCTAGATAGTAAATGTTTGCGTCCTGCGACTGACGCTGGCGTGTTTCACCATCACTGGTCCCTGCCGCGCCCCGCCATCGGCCCACCAGCGTGGGTGTGGTCGTATATGTCCGTCCCCGGCCCCCAAGGCCGGTCAGTCGGCGATCCGCCCACCGCTGACGTCGCCGCCGCTCCTCCCCGGCAGCGGGAGGAGGAGGTGGAGTTCTACGACGAGCCACGCTACGCGCCCGAGTACGACTGGGAGCGGGAGCGGGAGCGGCCGCCTGCCAAGGAGAAACAATATCCTTTGGGTGCGCACGCGCGCTGACGTGGGCTGTGTGGTGTTCGTCACTGGGTCACTACGGATGCGGAGTGCCGTAGGCGTTGCTGATGGGGTTCGTGGATGTGTGGCAAGATTGCTGTTTGCGGCTGGATGTCTGTGAACAGTCGCGCTGTACTGTAGTGGTGGCGGTTATTGGTTCGGAAACCTGTCTGGCTGTGGGGCTCAGAACGAAGTTTGTGACTGTTGGTATGCTTCGTGTGCTGCCGAAAATTTACTTCGTATACTAAACGAACGCGAGATCTTTCGACGTTAAAATCTTCTTTGTATAGGCTCCCTCTAAACGAAATCCTATGTTGCGCTTAAGCTCTACAGGAACCATAAAAAGGTTGATGTTCCCCCCCCCCCCTCCCCCTCGACAGCACGAAATTCCCAACGGTACGAGGTCGATAAATTCACGAGTCGAGGAGCACCAGGGCAGGCCATCCTTAGGGCCACGAGCATGCATGCGGCCAGACTCACCATGTCGCATGATTTGTGCCGGGTGCTGCCCTGGGCATGCTCGTCGCCGTCTGGTTGAGGTGTAGTGTGCTGTACCGTCAGTGTCGTGTAACTGTACCAGAGCGCTGGCCAGCTCCCGTCCATGTGCCTGTGAGCTCTCGGGTGTGGACTTGGGTAGCGGATTAACGTCCCGCGTAGGTATATATGTCCTTAACTCCGCTGCACTAGAGGCCGCATGGACAGCAAACGACGATGAGCCGAAGGCAGCGGCAGTCTGGGCGCGGCTACGAACGCGGCGCATCAAGAACGGCGCGGCGAAAAAGGTGGCGCGTCGCTAGGGACGCACACCCAGGGTAGTGCGGCAACAAACGCGGTGCACCAAGAAAGGCGCGGCGACAAGTTTGGCGCGCAATACATGACGTGATGAGAAACGCGATGCGCCAAGAACGGCGCAGTGAGAAATGTGACGTGCCACAGGCGGCGCTATGGTAATGACGGTTCACTGTAGGACGCACCGCCATCAACAAAGAATGCGATAGAGGATGGTGTGAATAATGCCGTACTGAATATACTGGGCAGTGTTTTAGTGTTTGGTGGACTAGATCGGATGCAAATTGTTGTCGGTGGTATGAAAATAGCAATGCCGGAGCTGTCGCGAGAATCATGACCTTAAATCATGATCATCAGCGATAATTGTGATAGTACTGCCAGCGTCGTAAGAGTGTGTCGACCCCCTCCCCCCTCCCCTCCCCCTCCACCTCCCTGTGCGCCATACGGATCGTTGAAACCACGAGCGTTAAGAAGAGACTTTCATGCAGGGTGCCGTGCCGGTATGACTTCAATGTTGCAGAAAAATGTGGATACAGGTTTAACTGTCCACTTTCGCCAACTAATATGCCGCACAAAATGCCGCAGGGCGCTGTGGTGCTCTGGTACGAGCGAAGTGGTTTTGGTCTCGGTGCGCATGGCAGGAACATTTTTCGCATTACCGCCTTCGGTGCAGCCTAAAATCTGCCCGCGTGGTGGTGTGGGGGGGGGGGGGGGGGGGGGGGGGGGGGGGGGGGGGGGGGGGGGGGGGGGGGGGGGGGAGCGTGGGAGCAACAGCTGCGGCGCGCGTTAGAGGTGCCTTTTGATTATGAGACGGTGAACCATGCGGCTTCGCGTCCAGCAGCGTGGACGGGGGTGCGGAAAATGCACCCCGACCCGGGAATACTGACGGGGTTCAGGCCTCCTTGACCCTCCAATCTGT